CCCGGCCGCTCCCGGTACCGCGGACCCCGCCCGAACGCGAGGCCCCCCCCCTTCCCCGGGGGCTGCCCCGCGCCGTGCCTGACGCCCAGCGCGGCCGTAGGGCCGCGCTGGGCGTCAGGCACGGCGCGGGGCAGCCCCGGCGGGGAAAGTAAGGGCAAAAGAGGGGGGCTTCGCGTTGCGCGCAAGCGCAAAGCGCGCAGTGAAGCCTCCCAGGGGGGAGTCATGGCGGGGCCGGGCAAGAGGAGGAGGAGGAGGAAAATAAAAAAAATAATTAAAAAAAGGGGGATGGGACCAATCGGGGCGGGCCGGGAAGAGAAGGGACGAGACGGGGAGATAGGAGCCGCTGGTAAGTGCTGGCGGTGATAGCAGCAGGGGGAAGTGGTCCGGGGAGGTGTTGCCATGGAGACGCGTTGTTTACACGCCCCCCTCCTCAAGATGTTGGGGGAGTGTGGGGGGGCTCGGTCCTGGTCGTGGTCGTGGTGTTGATTCCAACGCGGGAGGCGGGGAGGAGACACCCTCCACCCCCCCCCCCCCAAGGGAGTCCTCTAAAGGGGTGTCCCAAAAGAGGGGGAGTCTCCAATTAGGGGATCCCAAAAGGGGGTTCCCCCAAGGAGGGGTCTCGGAGCGCGGCACCCCAAGGAAGGGTCCCCAAAAGGAGGGGTCCCAAAGGGGGGGTTCCCCAAGGAGGGGGGGTCTCTGAGGAGGAGTCCCTAAGGGGATATCCCCAAGGAAGGGTCCAAAAGGATGGGTCCCAGACTGGGGGGAGACACCGTGTTCCCCTATTCCCGTATTCCCTTCCATGCCCGCCCCTTCCCACCGGCCTGGGACTGGAGCTGCTCCTCTTTTCCCGGTCCCGGGGGGTAGTGGGGGGTCTTATCCCGATCCCCAAGGGTCTTTTCCCAGTGCCTTGAGGGTCTCTTCCTGGTCCTGGAGGGTCTTTTCCCAGTCTCCGGGAGTTTTTCCCACTCTCCGATGATCTCCTCGTAGTCCTGGAGGGTCTTTTCCCTGTCCCTGGGAGCCTTTTCCCGCTCCCAGAGGGTCTTTTCCGGGTTCCAGAGGGTCATTTCCCAGTCCCGGAGGGTCCTTTCCCGGTCTCCATGTCCCCGTGTCCCCCCGACAGCAGGGCTGGTGTCCCCCCGTCCAGTTTCCAGCACTTCTCCGGTTTCCACCCCAGTGCCCCTTCCCCACCCCGCCGGCTGCTCCGGGACGTCTCCCAGGTTTACACATCCAGGAACTGGGATTCGGTGTCGCGCCCAGGCTTTAATGTCCCGTCAGGATTCAGCCCCTCGATCCTTGCTGAATTCCAGGGACACGGGGCAGTGCCATCCCCGGGAGTGCCCGGTCCCAGCTGACCCCGGGATAACCCCCGGCCCGCTCCCGGAGCCGCCGCTGCCCGCCGGGAGCTGCGGGTGAGCTTTGGGGTATCCCAGGAGCTTCCGGGGGGTGTCAGGGGCTGGGCCGCGCTGGTTCATCCCTGGATCGCGGTGGGATTCCCGCCGGGATAAAGCCGGGAACGGAATGAAACCGAAACCGAAACGCGCACCGGGCGGAGCCGGCTCTGCCCCAGCGGGGGGGAAGGGACCCCGAAACGGGGTCGGGCCGTGCCGGGTGGCGGTGCCGCGTCCCGTCCAGGAGTGTCCCTGTCCCCGCAGCGCTGGCCACGGGGACTGATCCCTGACTTTCCCGCTCCCATTCCTGTCCCCAGGGATGCCCCGGGGCCGGGCAGTGCCCACAGTGACTGCTCCCTGACTGTCCCATCCCTGTCCCATCCCCAGGGATGCCCCGGCGCCGGGCAGTGCCCACGCTGGCCTCGCTGTGCCTGCAGAGCCTGGCCCAGCACATGCAGAGCCTCTGGGCCAAGGACTACAGTGACAACTACCTGGACGAGTACGAGTTCCGCTTCCTCGTGGGCCCCTTCAATGACTTGGGTGAGCCCCAGGACCCCCGGGGGGGGATGAAGTGCCAGGGTCCCCAAGCCCCCTGTGCTGGGCAGGAGGTGGTGCCAGGGCCCTGGGACCCCCAGAGGGGCAGAGGAGGGTCCCAGGTGGGTGGGTGGGTGTGCCAGGGCCCCGAGACCACCATGCAGGGAAGGTAGAAGTGCCAGGCAGCACTGACCCTTGTGGGGCACATGGGGATCCCAAGACCCGCTGACCCCCATTGCCCTGGGTGTGTGGGTGGGTGTGTGACCCCAATGACACCCATGTGGGGTGGGTGGGTGTCCCACACCTCGCTGCCCCTGCTCTGGGTGGGTGGGTGTTCCATGCCTCGCTGCCCTGTTCTGGGTGTGTGGGTGGGTGTGTGATCCCACTGTGGGGTGGGTGGGTGTCCCACGCCTAGCTGCGCTGCTCTGGGTGTGTGGGTGGGTGTCCCATGCCTGCTCTGGGTGTGTGGGTGGGTGCCTGAGCCCCGCTGACGCCGTGCCCCCAGCCTGCGGGCTGGTGCAGGAGCTGCTGCGGGTGCTGGGTGCCAGCCGGCGCCTGTCGCGCGCGGCGCTGCACCTGCTGCTGCTGCCTCACCTGCGCCAGCTCAGCCTGCGGCCCTGCCCCAGCCTGGCCAACAACGCCCTGGGGCACCTCATCGTCCTGCGCTGCCAGGTGGGCGCGGGGGGCCCTGCCCTGGCGATGGGGGAGTGGGGCAATGGCTTCCCTGGGGCTGGGGGAGCGTGGGGGGGTGTCACGGGCCCTGCGGCTGGGGCTGTCTCTGTGGGGATGGGGGAGAGGGTCTGGGGGTGCCATGGTCGGTGGGGCTGGGGTTGTGGGGCTGGGGAGGCCCACCTTCCATGGGGCTGGAGATGCCATGGTCCATCGGGAGAGTGGGGCAGGGGGTGCCCATCCTCTGTGAGGCCAGGGATGCCCACCCACTGTGGGGCCAGGGATGCCCACCCACTGTGGGGCTGGGGGTGCCGGGGTCCATGGGAAAGAGGGAGTGGATAGGGGTCCCAGACCTGCGTGGTGTCTTGGGGTGCCCACCCCCCCCATACGTGGGTACAGGGGGTTCTTGCCCCCCTGCCCAGCCCGCTGAGGGTCTCCCGGTGTGACCGCAGGGCCTGAGTTCCCTGGACCTGGGGGGCTGCGGGCGGCTCTCGCCGGCCGTGCTGGTGGACGTGGCCGAGGGGCTGCCCCGGCTGAGCCGCCTGGGGCTGGCACACACGCAGGCCAACGTGCAGGTGCTGTCGGCCGTGGGCTCCTGCTGCCGCCTCCTGCGGGAGCTCGACGTGTCGGGCTGCAAGAAGGTGACCCCGCGCGCCCTGCGGCACCTGGGCTACGACCCCCTGGCGCGGACCCCCGGCTGCCCCGCGCTGCGAGTGCTGCTGGCCCGCGACCTGGAGCCCACCGGCGACGGGGACGCGGTGGCCGCCGTGGCCTTCCTGCTGCTGGCCCTGCCGCAGCTGGAGGTGCTGGCACACGGGGCCGTGCCGGACGCGCTGCGCCTGCTCCACGCGGGGCAGCTGGACGGCACCGCCGACCCCGAGGGCTTCCCGGGGCTGCAGGAGCTGGCGCGGGGCCGGGGGGCGGCGCCGGGGGGGTCCCCGCTCACTCTGCCCCTGCGGCAGCTCGAGGAGCTGGAGGAGGACGCCCTGGGCACCGTCCGCGCCGTGTGTCCCCGGGCCGAGGAGCTCAGCGCGTGGCTGGGGGACGGGCCCGGCCCCGCGGGGCTGCGGGAGCTGCCGGGCTGGCAATGCCTGTCCCGGCTGACGCTGGGCTGTGCCGGCCGGCACGGCCGGGCGCTGGCAGAGGTGCTGCCGCTGGCGGAGGCCCTGGGCGCCCGCCTGCACGCCCTGACCCTGCACGGCTTCAGCTGCCCGGACCCGCTGTCGCTGCCCGCCCTGCTCTCCAGCTGCCCCAGCCTGCAGAGCTTCAGCACCGAGCTGCAGGTGCCGCCGGACCCCCACGCCCCCGCCGAGCCCCCCGCCCCGCCGCCCCGCTGGGCCACCGACCTGCTGCCCCTGGGGCTGCCCCAGCTCCAGAGCTTCTCGCTGGCCCTGGCCGGGCCCGTGCCAGCCGCACACGTGCCGGTGCTGAGCGCCACGCTGGCCTCGGTGCTGAGCCGGGCCCCGCGGCTGCAGACGCTGCGCCTGCTCACCCTGCCCTTCCCGCTGGACTCGGTGCTGGAGCCGGAGCTGGGGCAGCTGGGGGAGCTGCAGGAGCTCTCGCTGGCCGGGAGCCACGTGTCCCCCCACACCGTGTGGCACTTGCTGGGCTCCGAGGGGCCACTGCGGCGCCTGGACCTGTCCCGCTGCCCCCACATCCACCGGCGTGACTACGACGGGTTCCTGCAGTTTGTGCAGAGGCAGCGCCTGGACCTGGACATCGCCTGGGAGTGACGGCACCGGGGGCTTTAATAAAGGGGTCACAGTCCCATCTGGCCAGTGCCGTGTCATCCTTTGGGTGCCACAGCGTGGGCACGCGGCAACCAAAGGGGTGATCGTGTCCCCCTCCCCACCCTGAGGGTCTCCCTGCACGGCCACATCCCGAGGGCTCAGCTCTGGGGTCCCTCCGTGAGCCCCGTCAGCTGCTCCGACGCCTCCCAGAGCTTCCGAGCCAGCGCAGCGTCGCGGGCGGGCACCGAGGGCAGCGCCAGCCGGCACGAGCTGTCGAAGTATTTCCCGCTGATGCCCTCGGCCTCTTCCGACACAGCGCAGAAGATGGTGCTGGAAGCGCCCTGCTCGGCCGACTGCAGGGCACGGGGGTCAGGGAGGACCTGCAGCCCCTGCCCACCCGCTGCCCCCGGGCCAGGCAGGACCCGGCCCCGCTCACCTTCATGAAGGGGCGCAGGAGCACGAAGAGCACCTGCACGGCCCAGCTGAAGTGGCGCATGATGTTGGTGCTCACCACGCCGGGGCTCAGCGCGTTGGCCGTCACCCCTGCCGGGCCGCACTGTCAGTGCCACGCCAGGGCACCACGGGGAGCAGCGGGAGCAGCCCCCAGCCCGGCCTCGGAGCAGGGGCTCCGCCGTGCCTGGCACCAGGGCCACCCTGGCCACGGTTCTGCTGCCCACAGATGTTCTGGGGAGTCTCTAACAGGATGAGACCCCCCCAGCCCCATCGGCAGCCCCCGGGCCGTGGCACAGCAGCACAGAGGGGTGGGGATGGGGGGTGGCCCTTGTGCACAGCCATGCTTGGGTGCCCCACAGCACGGCCAAGCCCGGCACCCACCTGTGCCACGCAGACGCCGCGCCAGCTCGGCGGTGAAGAGCAGGTTCATCAGCTTGGTGCTGCTGTAGGCAGCGTCATACCCACCCGGGTGCCGCTGCCCCGTGAGGAACCTGCTGTCAGCCGTGCCCAGGCTGTGCCGGAACGACGAGACGTTGACCACCCGCGAGGGCGCCGAGGCCTTCAGCAGGTCTGTGAGGAGCAGGGGGTGAGCAGGGAGAGGTCCCAGGATCCACCACACCCTGTGCTCACCCAGCAGTGGGGTGGTGAGCAGGAACGGTGTGAGAGCGGAGGGGACCCCAGAGCTCCCCGGTCCCCCACACACCCAGCAGCAGGTTGGTGAGCAGGAACGGGCCCAGGTAATTGGTGGTGAAGGTTTGCTCCAGCCCTTCTGAAGTGATGGCGAAGGGCAGCCCTGGAAAAGGGGGGTGGGCACTGTGGGGCATCGAGGTGGAGCGTTGGACGCCGCTGGGCCGGGGGCCACGGGGCCGTACCGGTGACGCCGGCGTTGTTGACCAGCACGTCGAGCCGCGGCTCCTCCTGCAGCACGGCGCGGGCAAAGGCGCGCACCGAGGCCAGCGAGCCCGTGTCCAGCAGCCGCAGCACCACCGCTGGGTTCCCGGTGGCCGCCCGGATCTCCTCCACCGCCGCCTGGCCCCGCTCCCGGCTCCGGCACGCCAGGATGGTGCGGGCGTTCCGGCGTGCCAGATCCATGGCCACGCACTTGCCGATGCCTGCGGCACAGGGAGCTGGACGGGCTGAACCCTGACAGGCCCCCACGGCGAGGGTTCCCTAGGGGTCTGTGCCCCTGTTCCCAGAGTCTGGGTAGCCCCTGCTGCGGCCCCCAAACCCCCCCAGCAGCGCGGTGCCCACACGGCTCTGCGTCAGTGCTCCAGCACAGCAGGAACCAACGGGCACCGGTACAGGAATGGAGCCAAGCACATGTGGGGACACCCTGTCCCTGGGCACGTGGGGACACCCCAGTCCCAACCCGGGGGTCCCAGTGTCCCTGGCTGTGCCCGACCCCGTGCTCAGCAGTGGGACACAGGTGGGAGCAGTGACTCCCTCCCCGGTGTGACACGGTGGCTCTGGTGGCCGGCAGTGCGGTGACGTTGGCTGTCAGTCATTAACGCAGCCAGGAAAGAGTCTGGACACCGAGGCTGGGCAGGGGGCACGGGGGGTGCCCACCCGGTGTGAGGTGCCATGGGGCACGGGAAGCACACTGTGGGTTCCCAGGGATGAGCCACCAGCTGCTCCTGCAGCTGTTCTCACCCCTGAGGCAGGGGCTGGGCTCCAGGGCTGAGGAAGGGACACCCACGTTCCCCACCGGACACCCCACGGCTCCGTGTCACCCACACACACGTCCCCGTCCCTGCTCACCGCTGTTGGCTCCGGTGACAATCACCGTCTTGCCCGTCAAGTCGGTGGGACACTCGCGGGGGTCCCAGCGGGGTCTACGCCTGACCCAGAGCAGCAGCCCCGAGAGCAGGAGCAGCAGGAGCCCCCACGGGGGGCTCAGGGCCCCCGGCAGCTCCATGGCTGGGCGCGGGTGGGGCCGGGGACAGAGGTCGGAGCGGGACCTTTGCCCAGCCGGCAGCAGGGCACGGCACGGGCCCCTCCAGCCCGGGAGCCGCCGGGACGGACAGGAGAGTGGCTGGAGCGGGCAGGAGGGTGATCTGTGTGCCCCCTGTGCCACCCTGCCGGGAAAGGGCTAACGACAGTTGTAGTATCTCCTCTGATGGTGAAACCCGTCACAGAAAACACTGCGGGCGCTGCCTCCGCCCCAGCCGCAAGAGGAACAAGGTTTCATTTCTGGCCCTGCCCAAGCGGGACCCAATCGGCTACTTTTCACCCCAGTTCCCCTGTGGTGCATTGTGTGACAAGGGAGGAGCTGCACAAGTGCGGGAAGTGGGGTCACAGATAGGACACTTGATTTTCGGGTATTTGTCTTGCTCAACCCCCAGAGTGGAGCCCCACGAGCACCGAATGAAGTGCAGAGCACGTGCGACAGCGAGACCACGCCCTCTTCGCATGACGCTAATTATGAACTGAAAACCACTCCCACTCTAAATCTCTTTCTAACGAGGATCCGAAAACCACGCCCACTTCCCCTTATGCTAATGAGTAACAAAGTAGGCGTTGTTTCCAGGTGCTACCGCGGTGTCCCCTGTACCACCCCAGTGTCCCTTGTGCCACCCCAGGGCTGTTCACCCACCTCACTGTCACCCCGAAGCGGCAGCAGGAGGGTCGATGCCCGGAGCAGCCCCGACCCGGGGTCCGCGTCCTCCGGGACGGGCAGCCCGGGGACAGGGCAAGGCCCACGGCGAGCTCACGGGGTGAAGTCACCCGTGTCACCCCGTTACATCCCCTTGGTTTCTCCTCTGGGGGCAGATGGGCTGCGGGGACGCGCCGCGGGTGGGTCCGGGGGTTGGAGGCACCGCGACTGCTGCGGCCGGAGCTCCCGGCCCCGCTCCCGTGGGACCGCCCAGGCCCCGCTCCCGGTGCCGCACAGCGGTGGGAGCCCGGAGAACGAAAACTCCTTTGATTTGATTTCATCTATCCCTGTTCTCTTCAGCAGCGCGATTGGAGGTGGGACACGGGGTGCCGAGGACCCTCCGAGGGCCGGGGGTCCGCCGGAGCTGGGACAACCCCGGGAGGGGCAGCGCCCAGATTCTCAGCAGGTTTTCCAGGCGCTGCCCTCAGTGCTCGCCGTCCCACGCGAGCCGGAACGCCGGGACGGAGAGGATGGGCCTCAGCTCCCGCTCGGGCTTGCTCACCTCGCCCTCCTCCTCCTCCTCCTCGCCCTGCCCCGCCGTGCCCGGCCCGCGCCGCTCGCTGCCGCCCCAGCGCACGGTGACCCCGGGAGCCAGCAGCGCCGAGCTCAGCCAGGACTCACACGGCAGGGGTTCGGGGCTGCCGGGGCCCGGCGGGGGCTGCGGGGGCCCGGGCGGGGGCTGCCGGCCCCGAGAGACCCCCTTCTCCGGCCCCCGGCTGGCGCGGGGGGCACCGCGGGGCCGCGGCCGCTCGGGCTCGACGAACACGTCCAGCACCTTCACCTGCGGCCGGATCCGCGCGGAGCCGCGGCGGAGCCCCGGCCTGGAGACCACCGGTGCGGGGCCGGGCCCCTCCGGAGCCACCCCTGGCCCGCCGGGGGGTCTCCCCGGCCGGAGGGACGCCAGGCTGGCGCGGGCGGACGGTGGCGGTGCTGGCTCTTGGTCGCCCACCCCCGCCCCGGCCCCGCGGGACTCCCGCGGTCCCCCCCGCGCTGGGGTCTCTGGGGGCTCGGTCGGGCGCGGGGCCGGGGGCCGAGAGGGGCCCAGTGGGGCCGGGCGGGGCCGCGGGGGCCGCGAGGGACGGGGGTCTCTGTCGGCGAGCCGGGGGGCGGCAGGAGGCTGCGGGCGGGGTGGGCCTGGCACGGGCAGGACGGGGACAGCGCCGGGGGGAGCTCCGGCTGCTGCGGGAGGGGCCTGGCTCGGGGGCTTCGCACCGGGGACCTGCCGGGGGCAGAGGGGAGCTGGTGGGGGTGGGGGTGTCAGGGTGCTCCGCGGAGTGACCCGGGGCGGGTGACACTCCGAGTGGCCCTGAAGCTACAGGGGCTCAGCGCGGGGGGGAGGGGAGGGTGTCACAGCGACGGGCGGGGCACGTCTCACCTCTCTCCGGGACAGACGGACAGCCGGGACGGTGACAGAGTCGCGGGCCCGGAGGGGACGCTCAGAGGAAGCCTCGTCTGTCACGGGGGATTCCTGGGGCGGGACCTGCCCGGGGGACAAAGAGGGGCCGGTGTGGGTGACAACCGGTGTCCCACGGCCCCGGGGGTCCCGGGGGGGTCGGGGCACGTCTCACCTCTCCCAGGGACGGAGGGACCTGCTGGACGGGGACAACGCCCTGTGCCCAGGTGTCCAGGGCGCAGGGCTGGGGCTCCTCGTCCTCGCTCCAGGCTCGGGGTCGCTCGGGGTCCGGGTCCCTCTCGGGGTCGGGGTCCCCCTCGTCCCGTGCCAGGAACCGCCACT